AATTTGCTCATTTATACTCTATTGTGCATTTTAGTACATTTACACAGTTCTGTATCACTAGTTATAGAACATTTTCAGAAATTAATATATATTAACAGTTGTAGCTTCTTCTCCCCTCAGTCTCCCACAATCTATTTTCTTATTAGTTGGGAGAGCACTTGCCTAACATGAAGATGGCCCTGGGTTCCATCCCCAGCATTGCAAAAATAAAAGATGTTGAGGAGATGAAGAAGACTGAACCATTGGGCAAGAGCCATCAGAAGCAAAGAGGAAACAAAGTGAAAAAGTAATGTACCAAGTTATTATCCCAGTTCCGGAATCAGTACCACTGTCACCCACACCTGGGTCCAGGTCTTAACTACAAGCTCCTTTCTAGTGCTTCACCACCAGGACCCAGTCACAGGAAGCAGACGGGAGAAGACTTTGGAGCCCATGAGACAGCAGTGTACAAGCTCTAAGTGAAGCTAAAGTTGCAGTCCCCAGAAAGCTGGTGATGTCAGGAACATGCAATGTCTTTAGAGGAAAGCCACAGAAATAGTCCAATTCAGTACAGTAGCACATGAAAAACTAGATTTGCAAGTTTTGGAGAAGGTCAAAGGGGAATCACTAGATTACTCTTCCATGGATGATGAAGATGATCCATTATGTTAAAATACATGTTCTCGTAACAGAAGAGTGGTGTGGGTGTATGATCATCATGACTTTGACACTGGCCATGTGAGCCAAAGTTCCTGTGACAGTGAAATGGAGCAAGAATCAACTGATAAAGACACAGGGAATGCAGACCTCCTTGATTCAGATGACAAAGAAAACAGCAATAGTACAACTTGACCAGCAGAGGAACTGTAAACAGGAACAAAGCAGAAATTCCAAATGAAATGTTGCAATTTTAAAACAGTGAGTTATATAGTACAATCTTTGGATTTCAGAAAGATTTACATTGGTCTCATATGTGGCAAAGAAAAGTAAACTGGTACTGCTGATGTCAACATTGAACCATGATGGAAATATTGATAGGAAACCTCAACAAAACAGAAGCCTGAGATGGAAACTTTCTTTTTTTTTTTTTGAGACAGGGTCTCACTGTGTAGTTGAGACTGGCCTGGAACTCACTATGTAGCCCAGGCTGGTCTCGAACACACAGCGATCCTCCTGCCTCAGCCTCCCAAGTGCTGGGATTACAGGCATGGGCCACCATGCCCAGCCCTGAAATGGAAACTTTCTACAAGAAACCAAAGTTGAAGCAGATGTTAATGAGCAATGCAGCAACTGTGATGTCACTCGAAACACAAAGCATTGGCCAATGTTTTTGTTTTACTTGTTCTTAAATATGTGTGGCATGAATATTTTAATAATTTACATAGAAAATGACAAGTGCAAAATATCACGCAGAAATTTTCTTAAAGGATTGGGACTGGAACTCTTTTTTTTTTTTTTTTTGGTACTGGGGATCGAAGTCAGGTCCTTGTGCTTGTGAGGCAGGTAGCGGAACCACTGAGCTTAAACCCTGGCCCCTCTTTTTTTTAATTAAATTTTTGGGACATTTTAAGTATATAGTACAGCTACATTCATCATTGGGATCTTGTACCTTTACATGATGTATCTTGGTTCTTTTTTTTTCCCCATTCCCCTGCCCTCCCTTCACCCCCTCCACCCTTCCCTATTTACAATGACTTTGTTTCCATTTTTTTCCTTTTCTCATATTTTTTCTTTCACCTACCCTTCTCACTTCCCCTACTCCTTTAGACCTTTTCTTCCTGTTTCACACTATCAATTATACATTTTGATCCTTATTTACACTTTTAGTTTTTCACACCAGAGAAACTATTCGGTATTTACTCATGTGTGTCCTATTTATTTCACTTAAGAGTATGGTCTCAATGTGTTTCCATTTAGCTATAAATGTCTCTAGTTTCTCATTCTTTATGGCTGAGTAGTACTCCATTTTATTTTTTAAAAACCCCACATCTTCTTTATCCAGTCTCCTATTGATGGGCAATTGGGCTGTTTCCAAGTTTTAGCTATTACAGACTGTGCCATTATAAATATGGGTGTACATATGTCACTGTGGTACTGATATAGGGAGAAGAGATGTAACTCCCAAACCTACTAGATAGCTGAAATGTGAGTTCATCATCTCTAAAATAGAAGAATGAATTCTAGGAACAACAGAGGGTAAAAGTAGGAAAAATTTATTGAGAGAAAGAAAGTTTCTATGAGAGACAGAAGGGGGACCAGAAAGTGGGCTGTCCGGGGACTGGAACTCTTAAGAGATTATTTACACCAGAGGAAAGACACTGGTGAGTTCAGGTGAACAGGCAGGTGCAGCATCACAAAGATCTACTACAACAACAGGAAAACCAAAAAGATGTCAACTGTGCCCTACAAGAAAGGACAGGAAAACAAAACATATGTGCTATCAGTGTGACTTGTGTATGGAACATGCAGCTGTCAAATGTGAAAACTGTCTTGGATGTGACAGGTGAAGCAAAGATTATTTCTGTGGTAGACTTTTATCTGTGGTTTCTTGTAGTTCACATAAGTTTTTAAAAAAATTTCTGACGTTATCTTTTATGTTTGCAAGCAAGTAAATAGCTGATGTCAAAATGTTGATGTCTATTCCAAGTACTCATTACATATTTATTTTATTCTATTGCTATCTTATTTCCCTGCTAAGTGCATGTTGTACAATATAGTAGAGAGCTCCTACAAAACAGGAAGAGAGGTAACAAGAATGGCCTACCTCATAGGAAGGAAAAGCTAAGCACATGTGCTGTCAGTGTAAGCGAGATGTGTGCATGGAACATGCAGTTGTCATGTGTGGAGGACGGCCTTGAGTGTGACAATTGAAGCAAAGCTCATATTTGTTTTAGCGTTCTATTGGTCTTATTGTAGTTAATACAGGAATTTATTTCTGATATTATCTTTTAGGTTTTTAAAGCAAGTACACAGCTGATGTGAAAATGTTGATGTCTATTCTAAATGCATAATACGTAGTAAGAATTTAATATCTTATTTTACTGATATTTTATGCTCCTGTTAACTACATACTGTATAAGAAACTCCTGAGAAAACAGCAAGACCAGTAAGACGTCAAGTACGTCCTACAAAAAGGCCAGAAAAGCAAAACACATGTGCTTTTAGTGTAAGCCATATGTGTGTATGGAATGTGCTATCATTTGTACAGACTCTTAGGTGTCATAACTGAAGTAAGTTATTTTTTTGATAAATATTTGTATTTTTATTGTAGTTCATATAAGAATTTGTTCCTAGACTTTGTACACCAAAAAACTCAACGCTGAAAATTTTGATGCTTTTTTAAGAGATTTTAATTTTAATTTTATTTATTTATTTATTTTTGGTACTAGGGATCGAACTCAGGACCTTGCACTTGCATGGCAGGCGGGAGCACAACTGAGCTAAATTCCTGGTCCTAGAATTCCTTTTTTTTTTGGTATCGGGGATCGAACTAGGATCCTTGCAATTTCAAGGCAGGCGGCAGAACTAAATCCCTGGCCCTCTTGATGCTTTTCTAATAATCTTAATTTTTAACACGTGCCTTCCAAGCATAAGGACCCGAGTTTAATATCCAGTACCCCCCCAAAAAAATTCAATACTTAAAAATAAAGAAGATTGAAGGGGCGTGGTGGCACACGCCTGTAATCCCAGCACTCCAGAGGCTGAGGCAGGAGGATCGCTGTGAGTTCGAGATCACCCTGGTCTTCACAGTGAGTTCCAGGTCAGTCTCAACTACATAGTGAGACCCTGTCTCAAAAAACCAAAAAAAAAAAAAAAAAAAAAAATTTTTTTTAAGACTTCTGACCCCTGGGTAGAATGTGAGAGGGTACCGATACAGCTGCTTGGAAAAGGAGGTGGTATGGTCTTCCCAAACCACCACCAACAACACTGGAAAAGCAGAGGAAGAAACATCTGGTTTGGGAGGATGAGGAAGATAGTGGCCTGATCCTGCATCTATCCACGGAGTGGCTGCGGGACGCCGAAGACAATACATCCGAGACTCAGCCGCGATCTCCTCTGACACTCACGCTCCCCAGGGGCACACTGAAATGGCCGGGACGCTCGACCCCAAGTCCGGCATACATAGAGCTACACTCCTTTCCGAGCCCCGGGCTCCCGTTCTCTGGACCAAACAGAGCGGAGCTACGAAGAGAACATTGACCGCGGCCAGGGCGCGCCTAAGGCCCGGAGGCGGAATTCCCTGGACTCTTGAGCCTTCCCCACTAGGGCCTCCGGGAGCCAGAGGGTCCTGCTGGACGCCACTGGAGAAAGGAAACGACCCCCACGACTCTTGTAGGTCCAAAGCCACAGTGGAAAGTCGATACCGGAACCAGGGACTTAGTTCAGTGGTGCCGCCGCGTGCCTAGCAAGCACAAGGTGCCGAATTTGATCCCCGGTACACTCCCTAAAAAGAAAGAAAATCGATATCGGAAGTCCCTCCGGCTCGACCTGGCCGGGAACAACCCTCCTGAGCCGTCATTGGCCCGTCTGTATGGACGCGAGGCGAGATGTTTTATGGGAAGTGTAGTTCGCACCGCATCCGCCGGCAGATAGCCGGTCCATCCACTATCACCTTGGCAACGACCAGAGCGCCAGTGCAGAGGGGAAGTGACGTTAGGCACCGGCAGTAGGAGCCATACGGGATTTCCGGCGCTGCGGGCGGTTTTCTGTAAGCTGTGGGTGGTGGGTTCCAGGGACTGCGTCATAGGTCGCCCCGGCCGGGAAGAGGCTTGGGCACCGCGCCTCTGCAGGCGCCG